CGGATTTTACCTTTTCACCCAGCTACTCTCTGCGAGAGGATGGGGTGTAAATTTCGGTCAAGCAAAGTTGCAAACACCGCTTTGGGCGCCGTCCTTGAATCAAGGAGTGAGGAACCAGCTGGGCAACATACGGTGATTCAGTTGGAATGTCCACTGGAACCCTTAGGCCATGTCTCCCTACACTTAGAGCACAGGCTATGTACGGCCCCGAGAAACAGTCACTGGCAGGTACCGGTTAGGCCTAAAAGGGTTATTTCAATTACACATCTTCAGTCTGGTAGGAATTTATAGTCAGGGAACGTAGGGCGCACTTGTACAGTACAGTACCTCTCATTAAGCCCTCGGGTTGTGCCGCTGCAGTGAGCCTTTTTGCGGAAGAACTTTGTAGTAGCCCCGTTGGATCTGCAAGTACTCGAGTATAGTACTAAGTGTGGGCAATTAGAGTGAAGTTTCTTAGCCTGATTCATTGTCTTTGGGGTCAAAGTGAGGGCGCCCTGTTCGGTTCTCGGCTAGTGTCTTTTCTCCACCCCCCTGCGATAATAAAATTTGTCCCCACATATCTCAGACGAGCTTGTGCTGGATTACGTACAATTTTAATCCTTTCCAAATCGACCACGGCTCTGCAATAGCTAGGTTGCATAGAGTCTTCAATTTTTTTCACTGACCGACCTTTGGCGGCTTCCAGTGCGGAACCCCACGGAGGTATAGAACACAGGTAGATTTTAGACGTGCCGGGTTGGTTCGTTGGAATCTATGAAGAATATTGGACCGTGGTATGTGCAGACCGATCTAACTTAGTATCTATTTAATTGAGCGGAAGCTTCATGTGGATTACCGCTCCCGACGGACGCTACGCTACGCAGTAGGGCGTTCCTCCGCACTTTTTCCTGCATATCTGGCTGAATTTCACATCAATGACATCACGGGCTGAATTGGCTCTGTTTGATTCACCCACTGTCATGTGCGTTTTGCCCTTGGGTTTCCGAGATATTGGATTGTAATTTATTGGGGTTCAAAGGGCGATGCATGAGCCAGCTGACCAGGCAATGAGATTTGATTTACGCAACAATATGCAAAGCGAAGAGGTTACCGGGTTTTAGGGATAGCTGGATATCTAAATACCGAGTGCTATTTGCACTTACCAGCTTGATGGTTAAAGAGGTGCGGTGGGCATTTTGCTTCGTATTCGGTTTCCCCAAAACAGCTAATACTTACCTTGTATCAAAGGCTCTGGATATACATCTCGAGATCTTCATATTACACATCTCACCTACCATTGCCTAGTCTGGTGCTCCGATCGGTCTATCGATACACAGGGGCATGCGCAGCCCTAGAATGCCTTTCGGTCTGTAGGATCTGCCGGTAGAGGTACTTTTGGCTAAGGATAACGACAGATCCGGGTAAGCAGTTGGTTCCAGGTTTATCAAGGAGCTTGCATCATGACCGGGAAAATTCCACCGAGCAGATGACCAGCACGGGTGCTAGCCTTCGTTCTTCTACCGAGAAAAAATATAAGTTAACACCTGGTCGCTATATAGCTTCTAGTATAGCCTATCATTCGGGGATTTCCTTGTTAAGGTCGAAGGGCAATAATCACTCTAGATCCTAGGAGAATAATTCGAAAGTGGGCTCTCCCCGGATAGGAGACCCTTGCTACGGTTAACTGGATCGGGCGAGAGCGCCCATCGCTTATGGGGTTGTGGTTATATTACGTAGAGTGCTTTTCTCTCAGGTCACGTATAATCACTCGAGGCACGTGTTGCTGATTGTCTTGTAAAACTGCTGCTGATATCGCTATCCCTAGAAACGGGATGGCTGGGTTAAGGGCCCCCGGCAGGGAGCGCCTCCGCGGGTATTAATCAATTGGAGCATAACCATAGCTCTTTTTACTCATGGGGGATACGCCCCATGATTTTGTGGATATCATGTCGCCAGCCTTGCCTTTAATGAACGAATATAGGCAGTGAACCAACAGAGGGGGCTAGGATCAGAAGAGGGACGAGTGAGGCTTGCAATCAGGAAACTGTTTGCAGAGTGAGAGGTATTGCCGGGTGAGCTGCAAATTTGAATATGGCATGGCTACCTCACTCATTTGTTGAGTTGGACATATCAGGAGGAAGCTGAGTCTGAATGGACAAAAGCACCTTGCCCAACTCTGCCACCCCCTATAGGTGACGGGCTGTAATACTTACAAACCCGCCTCTCGCCCAACAGTATGTACGATGCGTCAGCAGGCTCTCCCGCCAACCAAGTTTTTCGAGCGGTGCAAGGGTTGTGGATCGGAGGGTGTTTATTACCGAGCTGCCTTGAAATGAGCGATTACTTGGTATCAACTAACCGTTGGATTCGGCCATTGGAAAGTTTCGTCTGATGTTTTATGTCTGGAACATTCCTGCGCTCACCGGTCCTATGCTACGATCACATGTGAGGACTGCACACCTTCTCCCTTACTCGCCCAATCCTTCGCCCAATCACCAGCCCACCCACTCACTAACTCACTTGCGATGCACCCCACCCCCACCCTCCGGGTCCCCTCTGGGACAAAGCTTATGTGTCTTCGATAGGGTATATGATACTGGCTGTTAATATACCCTAATAGGTCGCATCAAGAAAATGTCCTCCCATGTGAATCCCGATCTGGCTAGTGATGACGGGCAACTAGAATCGAATGCCCAACTCCTTTTGGCGCATTGCGCTCGGTGGCTTGGTGAACGTGATGATAGAATTGACGGGGCTGCCAAGAACCTCTTGCTCTAGCTTGGATATTATAAGTAGATCCTCGTTGCGAAACCCCATTAGTCCGGTAACCACCATCTGCTTCGAATTTTGTCCGGAATTTATTCGGATATTAGATTATCCTCCTTCCCGCGAAGAATCTGTACCGTCTTGATGCGCATGAGATATGCGAGGAAGGCGGAGTGGCTGTGATTGGGACCGGTTCGACGGGTAAGAGGGCTTACTAAGTCTCTCGCCCAGCGCTTAAGATCGGTATTTGGGGTTGAAACTCTTTGAGTTTGCATGGCCGTATTGAGTCCTAATAGGTGGTACTGACGGTTGGGTGCTGTTGGAATCTTGACTGTTGAATAGTGCCTGAAAGAAGCCCAGTGAAGTGTGGGGATCAATTCAGATCGCGGGTTCTCTTTTGGCCCCTAGCCCCCTAATGCGGTCTGCTGAAGGGGCCCAACAAAGTAGCTTCGGGATCGGCCATCCTAAGATGTATTCTATTGAGAGATGTTGTGAGAGGTTCGCTATATAGCGCGGAACTTTAGGTCTGGCAGAAGAATATAGGAATTTCATTCAGTGAATCCCGTTTCCTAGAAATAGATGGAGAACCTGAGTGAGCCTTTATGACCTTAATTAGTGCTCTTCGGAGTCCCGTTAATGGATTATCGCTACGGTGAGTTTGTGGTTTCGACCAATAGTTCTATATGTGGAGCGAGTGTTTTTGGGCCTTGACTGTGTGGCGCTGCCGATGGAATAACTGGACAAACGACCTTGCTTGCTGATCCTCTTGGCAGTTGGTCAATTTGTTGGTTGGGAAGTCCGAATTCGTAGGACTTGGGTAAAGTAACGTAGCTCTGCGGTGGCTAACTTATAGCTAACTTAGGCCAAATCACTACCATGGAAGCATGTTCGTGACAACTTGGGGATGACACGAACATATTGAAACTCATCCTTTTTATTGTTTGCGGTCCGAAACTTGCTGTTTGACTGCCTAGGAGTTGTCGCTAGTCGCAGAATCTAAAATCTGACTCGGTTTTTGGTCTGCTATGGAAGGGGTGATGGAATTGTGGTTGACTATGGACAAGCTGGAAATTACTCTACTCAGGGAGCCTGCGCTGCCAGGTGGCCTCGGAAAAATAGACCATAAGTCGCGGCTCGGAAAGGAGTGGTATAAGTTAGTTCCGGTCGATAATCCCGCTGCCTGTACGAGTATAGTATTGTGAGGTACGATGTACTGTACTCTGTATAGGGCCAGTGTTGGGCTTGATCATTAAGCAACTCTTGGCAATTTGCTTAGCCGTTCACTCGCAATTTTTAAGATGACTCTGGGTGCTTTGACCAAGCCATATTGGTACTGTGCTAGTGCAAGTGCCTACTGTACCTGCAAGACTTGTACTCGAGCACCGGTACTGTAGAAAGTTAGGGAGCGGCAATCTAGGTCAACCTGCAAAAGAATCCCTGCCTTGCATGAAAACATCTCCTCGCGCACGAGTGCGGTACCGGTACTTGGGCTTAAAAAAATAAAAAATAACTTAGGGATAATTTAGCTATACAGGGACAGGTGCAGTGTGTCGCCCCTGAAAGTCTGTGAGTTGTCCTTTTTTGCTTACATTCCAGAGGTCATTACTGGCTCCTTACAGTACGAGTATCTAAAATGTCCTAGCTCGAATCCCGAAAATCGTGTATGAGCTTCCGGTTCATATTTCCAGAAATCAGAATCACAGATTGATGTAGTGGATGTCTAGCTACATTTCCACGATTTCGAAATCAAAAGAAAAATTTCTTGTTGGCATTATTCATTCAACTTGAAGCTAGATGATTTTTGTTCCCTGGTGGGTGCGGTGGTTGGTCGCAACCGTCATATCGTATCGGCCCCCTCCCGTTCTGCATTTTGGAGAGAAAGTGACGCGGTTGTTCCCTCACCGGACCCTTTAGCAAGTCTCTCGAGGTGATTAGTAGTGATTGGAGAGGGGTCCTTCCCGGAGGTGCTTGCATCATACCGGCACCTTGTGGGGTGGTGCGGCTCCGTTATCTCGTTTGCATCAAGCTCATTAAGAAATCCTACTGCCATTGTCCAGAGACATTTGGGTTATGTTCAAATGGGGTTAGCTCTAATAGCACGTGCGACGAATTGGTCTGGATCGAGATAAAATACGGGCTTGGCATAATCGGAGAATAGAGCTCCCCCGCTTTTCAATATTGATTCCCGGAACTATCACATTACTTAAACTGGGGAGCAAATCTGTGGTATGAAGACAGAGTACTTCCTGAGTACCAGCACAGTGCCTGTACAGTGCAATCAACACACTAGTCCGGGATAGCTATGGCAAGAGCCGTGATCGTAGGTAGGATGATTTTCGTGGGGGGTGTCGCGACGAAGTTATTTTAAGAATTATTTCTGACGGTTTATTAGGTGCGGGTATTGCCGGCTCGACGGTGGCCCTGTTGCTCAAAAGGTTTACGAATATCAAGCCAGTGCTGTACGAAAGAGCGCCTTCGTTCAAACATATCGGTGCGGGATTAACACTGGCTCCAAATGGGCTTGCCCCACTTGATCAGTATGTAATGCATGGTCTCGAAGAAAAAAAATACTTTATCCGGTCTCACACGGAACCAACAGATTAGGGCTCCTCCCGAAGCTCAGGGGAATAAGCCAGCCTGTGAACGGTCTAAACATATACTCCGGCCCGAACCGAAGGCCCGTAACCCACCAGTCGAATGATTGGTACCAGGGTCTCTACAGATATCCCCTTCTTTCCTTTGAAAGAGCGAATCTTCAGGATCTCCTTGTTTCTGAACTCCATCGCAATTGCGTAGAGGTTAACTTCGGCCATAAATGCATTGGCGTTATCGACCACCACAATAATGAGCCTGCAGTGGTGCAGTTCGGAAGTGGACTTGAGGTTGAAGGCGATATCGTGATTGGGGCTGATGGGGGAAATTCGCTACTTCGTTCCCTCACGATACCTAAGAGTCGTGGGGAAGGTGTCGGAGTGGAATACACAGGTTGGACAACCTTGTATGGCGTCACAAAACCGTTGGATCAGGCGCCCACAATGGATCAGATAAGGATCGTCGGTGGAATCGGCAAGGTCTATGGGGCGTGGCCGCTCCGAGAGAAACGGCAGTTTTGGTTCATTTCTCTCAAAGAGCCGTTTCCGGGAAAATGGCCTAGTGAAGCAAGTCTTCAGGAGTCATTGGATAAGGAGTGCCAGGGATTATGGTTTCCTGAAAATTACGGTGACACTGATACGTTCATGGGCGACATCATTGAGAAAAGCGTGCGAGTGGTCAAAGTTCCATTGATGAGTGGATATTGGGACGCAACTAACTACGGAAGGATTGTGTTGATTGGGGATGGTAAGTGGATCCATATCTTTTCTAGAATTAGGATTGGCTGATCAGGGTCCCGGTGGCGAAGCCGCTCATTCAATGGTACCCTTTCTCGCACAAGGTGCTTGCCAGGCAATAGAAGATGCAGTATCGTTGACTAATGTTTTACGCCCCCTCTCCTCGCCACTCAGAATGGAGGAATTGATATCTGCTTTGGATCACCACAGCACCACGCGGCGGCCACGGGTGGAGAGGGTTATCAAAGATGCCAGGTTTGCAGGGAAGGTCAACATTGACCTCTCAAAGAGTGTTATAGTGAGGAAGCTTCTCACTTTTGGCATGAGCCGTATGAGCAGCGAGAGGATGGCCAAAAGGGGAGAATGGCTTTATGCTCCGCAGAACCTGCAGCTCATTAAAGAGACGCATACCGCCTTAATGTGAACTCTCGTTTTCCTTATCGTAGACCTGTACATATCGCAGGGCTAGGGCATATATAAAATGGATTTGAAACGAGCGGTATGCGTTGGGCAACTGTCCATCCTTACTCTTGGCTAGCTCGGAAATCGAAACGTATTGCATGCTTCGAAACCTGTTTCTACAGGCCTGAATTTCGGTTCTATGAAGCTACTAGGATACCGACCCAAGAAATAACTCTCAAGGATTCACGTAGTAACTGCTCGGAGCTGAGGACTCTCTGAACAACGTTCAACATACCGGTACTGCCGTGTCACTTGCAGCTTTGAGCTATTTTTTTATGTACCGGATTCGGAATTGCCGAGTCAGATGCATCTAAGCAGAGTATAAAATATTCCGTGTGCCAATCTTAAAGCCTGCAGCATGATACATATGTGAGGTCCCGTATCACCCTAGGGGAGAACAACTTGAGTTATGCTAGACATATGGATTAGAGAGATGGGTACTGTAAAGTGCACCTCCGTCGTCACGGTGGGCGTGGAATGGCTTGGCATTGAGATCTAGGACGGGTTGCTTGATCAAACCCGTGCTCCAAAGATGTCTAGCGAGAAAATCAAACCTTAGTGCAAGCGCTCAAGAACTAATCATATTCAGATGACCAGGTAAGAAATTATGATCTACTGTGTTTATGTCTGGTTTACCTGACATGTAATTCGGAAAATGCCAGCACGGTAGTTGATCAATGGGAACCATTATGCATCACGATAAGGAGAGATACTTACGGCTCCGGGGCTGTGTTGATGCAGCAGGCAGTGCGGGACCTACCAGATCGTGTCATTCCTAGTCTCGGTCATTTTAAGCGTGATGAGTTAGCCCCGTTCTGAAACTCGGGATCGCGGGACGGGTAGAATGGTGACCCTGCAGCCGTCTCTGTACCGTACCGAAAGGGTCAGAATGCTGACATGGACCGAGAACGGCAACAATAAAGTTCCCCTGGAATCTCCATAGCATAACTGAATATGGTTGTTTTGTCATGCACATGTGAGATCAGCCTTGTGTGAAACAAGAGCCGAAAATTTCCCGGTATCCTTTGGTGGTACTATGCGCGTGGGCATTGGCGAGGGGCCGAAGGAAAATGGTGCGGGTGTATAAAAGAATCGGAGGAGGGGTAGAGCGGGAATGCTGGGGTGGCGGGATACTTAGTTGACAGGAGATCTACAATTAACTGAAGCTTGTAGGTTCCCCTCAGTCCGCCACTTTCCGCAGCACATGAGGTGGTACCGAGGAGGATAGCTAATTGCCGAGTGAATGATTGTTAGTTTGCAAGAAACTTATACTCGAGTAGCCTGCCTTGCAAACCCAATTTACCTTTATTTCTGATATATCCGGAGCCGGGCCTGGTGGCTCGTTAGTAACCAAAGCAAATCCCGGTTGCGACCATGGGGGAGCTCTCCATCTCGGCAGAGAACAAGTGCCGAGTATTTTAGGGGTGACCAAAATCCCGACCATACACCAACGGGTACAGGCCTTGATACCCGCATGTTCAACATTTGATCGTGTATCATAGCTAGGATATCCTCCCTCGGCAAAGTGTCTGTATGTCTGGGGGGGTGGCGGCTACGGATGCTTAGCATTTTGGGAGGCATAATGTGAATTCGTGCCGTCTTAGGAATGGCACGAGTGAGCGGGAGCGAAATGGAGTCACTGTTAACTCACGATACCATGAACTGGACCGAGCCATTCTGCGTTATACGTATGATATCTGGTAGGGTACCCGTTGCACCGGAGACTCCCTCAGGGGGCGTTTGAGGGCTCCTCCACTCACCGGAAATGGCTTGGTTTAATGCAGGAGGGTTGTGCATTGTCAGAGTTTTCTTCAAGGTTGAGCCGATTAGTTACAACAGGCTCTTGGCTTCTGTGATCTGACTGAATAGTATCAAAGAATGTTTCTTGGGGGCCGACTTGAGAGCTTATGGGGGTTTGACTGAATAGGGGAATGAGAAAAAAAAATTTGCTCAGGAATCTGCATGCACTACCATTCTTACAGGATAGGTTAGTGAAGGGTGAAAAATTTGGCAGAACCAACGAAGGAGGGAGTAATATGCGGAGCAGGTACTCCTAGGGGTTGATTTATCTCTATACGCTTGCTAGAAATCCCGAGTGATTTTTGGTGAATTCAAAGTAGCTGTCTGCGGTCAGCAGAGGATATACCCCCCTCAATTTTAATGGCTTCGGATGCGCAGAGGCTGATATGAGCCTAGATTATCTCGAATCTTCCATTTTTCAGGTTATGGTTTATTGGTACCATCTCATACCCTAATACAGTGCTATACCAGAGGCAGCAGAAAGCTAGTCAGCCACCGGTGGTGCAGGATGGTTGAATGACAACTGGTCCTGCGGTGTTTAGCACCCGGATATCCGATAGGGTAGAACCCCTGTCGTATCCTTTGCTTCTCATATTTCGGCAAAAAACATCTGCTGCAGATATCACAATATATCCCCTAAGCAGCACTTTTCGAAGTCTTTTGATCATTGTCTCAACTGCAATAACCGGGGGAACAAAGGTGATTTCACACTTCAGATAGCCCCTCCTGTGGTCACCACCACGGAATCTCAGGCTGATTCTGACCCCTCTGAATAATTATCTTATTCTTCTTCTTAGTGTTAATAGCCATGGGTCACTTGGAATTGGAACAGCCGAATGACCCTTATAGGTAGTGCGGCCCCCGCTCCTTTTGGTTAGTATTATAAGACGACTCCTTGGCCCTCCCTCGACTACTGCCATAATTCTTGAGAGCAACTAGCGTTCGGTACAGGGTCGGCACAGAGAGCCGGAAGTGAATTGTGGGGCTCCTCCCCTGAGCGTAGGGTTGGATTCGAGGTTTGTACCAGTACACTTATCGTCGGCTATGGGCTACAGGGTGCTAGGACACATCAAGTTTCGGTTCTGGATATAGTTCTTCTAGGGTGCGATTGGTATAGCTGTCTAGATGGCCAGCGGATGGTAGGGGGTATCGGACGGGACGTGGACTTTCGAAAGAGGACCAACTTCATAAGATCAATAAGTAAACAAATAAGTTCCGCTACCAAGCACCTGATACCCAACTCCGCGATTCCAAGCCTTCTCTATTCGGGTACTGATAAATACTCTTGTTATTCTTTAAAAATATTTTGGATTTGCAAGGTCCTGCAAGGGAAACTGAGGGAGCTTCCTTCATAATATGTGAGCCCATTTTCTGGATCTCGTGAACCTAATGTGCTTAGACCTCCCACTATTTCACACTATCTTCACTGACCCCTCCTCACCACTGTCATTCATCGCGTTTGATTTTTTTTTCGATTTCTAGCTAGAATTCTCACATAAAACTGCTCTATTCTAGTTGCAAAGCGATCCACATCGCAAAGAGGATGTCGTATTGGTCTAGTGGCTAGGGTAGCCCAGTGGTTAATTAAAACCTTCACCATTCTCGTCCACAGAGCAGATTTTTACTCCGTTTTAACCTTGTATAATGTATGCTTTATAGCCTCTCTCAGAGTAAATTTGTATCTATTTGAGTGTCTTTCCACTCCCAGTAACCTTTTTGCTTATTTTGGCATCTTTCCCCTCAATAAATTGTTTCCCTATAATAGCTCTCAATAATTACCTATATTACTAACTTTTTACCACTTTCCAGATTTAATGAAGGTCGGAAGGGGTCTATCAAATGCCCCCCCTCCCCTGATGGAATTGATATACCGGGTTGCACAATGTAGTACCAAACTTCCGTTCATTGAGCATGGTCCCAGACCAAAGATAGTATCTGAGTTGTGTGAAGGAAGGCCACAGTGAGATCGAACGAGCTTAATTATAAATTAGTCCGTTTCTGGTTAAACCAGATCCCCACCAATGTGAAAAAAATGCGCCGGGGGTATCACCTTCCAATTCGAGGAATTATTTGAATATATGTGGGAGTAGGATAACACAATTCTCGCACCACTTCCCAAGCCAGTTCTCCCGTTAATGCTTCTCCCAAAAATCACCTTTAATCCGGACAGGTGGCGGATAAAGTTCAAGCGGTCAACTACATCCCCCTTCTCGATACTCTATCACCCAATCGCGGAGGACCGTTCATTTCTTCCCTGCTAGGGCATTCCAACAGCCCTCAGGCCATCTTATTGGCCACTGGGATAGATCTGGGTTTACCTTGCCACCAGCATATCCTGGTTGGAAAACTACTTGGCGGCTCGGATGGAGTATACTGTATATATATATACATAATATATATATACTTCAAAACATAGATAGAGCACAGGGTTTAGGTTTTGGTTTTGTTGATACCCCTTGCCATAGGGAATCGTGCATGGGGTATCAGCTTTCTTTAGACATACGGTAGTTTTCTTGAAGCCTTATGGAGGATTGTGATCTGTCGGGATGGTTTGTCTCATTAGAGCTCATGAAGTTTCTTTTGGTCTCCCGAGTTAGATTTTTGTAGAAATATCCCCCGGTCCGTCCTAGGCTAGTATCTGTATCGATTGCCTAGTTCACTATCCTTCTACGCTTGGCTATACTTCAAGCCTATTTTGATTGCATTTTCGCTGCTTTATCATCCGGTGCTTTTATTTAAGCTCCATCAAATCTAACCCTCAACTTGTTCGAACCCAAAATATGATGCTGAACGGGGCGGCAGGAGGAATACGATCTTTGATGAATGCTAGGAAAGTGAAGGGTTGAACAACACGAAAGACAGATAGATGATAGTCGGTAGGTTTGACACCTGGATAGGGGTGGTAGTGATTTTTCTATTTTATATCAGGAACATTGGGTTTTAATTGTAGCCGATGAACCACCAGATATTTCTTCAACCTCTAGGCTCTCATTGATGTTTTCTCTCCAAAATTTTGTACGGATTTTAGTAGCCTTGGACAAAAGTTGGAAGGCATAGGGTAACGTAGCCTCAGGGTTTTGAGATCACCTAAAAGTGTCATTTCTCGTCCGAAATAGATTTATTAACAGGCATTGACAACTTTAAGTTTAGTACTTTAATGAC